CAAGCAAGTCACCAGAATATAAACTAACAGCAATCAGCACTCCTTACTAGCACTGATGATGTTATCTAGTTAAGGTAATGAAACATCTGCAAGAAAACAAGCAAGTTCAGAGAGCACCAAGGATCCCTCTTGTCAATCCTGAGCTACAAATATTCTCCTTTATTGTTTCTGTCCGAGTTTGTTGCAGAAAAATCCAAACCAGAAAGCAAGCACGGATAACTGGTTCAGCTGGATTCATTAAGTTCTTTATATATATAATAACAGATGAATAAATGTACAATACCCACAGGTGGTTCTTCCAAGTAAACACAAGGCAGGAGAGTTACAGGCAAACCCAAGCAGTTAGTTTCATTTCAGCAGTTAAGCCCAGAGTGCTTAAGTTTCTGTTTCAATTTTCTGCACAGACTCAGATCTGTTTTAAGCTCCCATTGGCTGACTTAGTTGCTATGCCTGTTCATTGGCTGACCTTGTTCCCATGTCTCTCCCAGTCATGAATATTTTAACAGTTTCTTCTTCTCTGTATGATATATTATATTTGCAAGATATACTTAGAATTTGTTGCTCACAGCAAGCAGGAGGCACAGAGAAATCTTGTGCCAAATTACAGCTGGCTTGTTTTGCCTACCAAAGGGAATCAAACACCACCCACGGTGTTTTAGGACATAAGCTTATATTCCAAGTACCAGCCTAAATTTAAGATGTCTTATTTTGTAGCTTGGATTTAATTACTTTGGAGAGTCTAGAGCAGTGTTTCTCAACCTTGGCAACTTGAAGATGCATTTGCTGGCTGGGGAATTCTGGGAGTTGAAGTCCAGACATCTTCAAGTTGCCAAGGTTGAGAAACACTGGTCTAGAGCAAAATCAACAGCTTTCATTTATATTTTCTTCCATTAGTAAAAAAAAAATAGTGCTACAGGAATAGAAAGATTGGACCTCAAAGATTCTCGAAGAATTTATTGCAGAAATCCTTCAAAATGTAACACCTCATTCCTTGTTTTACTTTATGTAGGTTAAGGATGGATTATTATATGGTAATGGAAAGATTAAATGAGTTTGTAAATAATCTTATCGATGGCATAGATTTTTAAGAAAAAAAACTAAATCTATTTTTCAAAAGGATTTTTAAAATGTTTTTCCACATAAACAGAATACTATATGTAAAAAGCATTGTTGATTTTAAAAAAGTCTGATGTTACATGTCTGGAAATTAATATATTCTTGAAGAGAAAAAAATTGGAGAATATATCAAATTGGCTTTTGAATATATACTACAAATATATTATATAAATTTTTCTTCAAAATTTCCTTAAATTCTATCATTCCTTCTTATCTTGACAAAATGAGTGAAGAAAGTCTCAATGACCAATAAATTCGCCTTTCTACCAGGCATTTCTTTTTTTATTGCTGCCTAGAAAGTTCTCCCCTTTTCACACATTATACTAACAAAGCTCACAAGGTTTTCAATGTCATAATTCAACCTACTGGACACTCAGTATCAACCATAATATTTAAGCTCCCAAGGGTTCAAGAGACTCCTATCAGAAGAAAGATTTCAGCTACTCTAATGAAATGTGGGAGTGACCTTAGAGTTGCAGTCAGGCTAATGGTCAAATATGAGGAAACAGTAGATTGCAGAATGAATGGCAATGGGAGAGAAATGTATTTGCAAGATTCACCCTCACACAATAAAGTAGAATTAGTTCATATGTGTGTGCTTTAATGGTGGGATTCAAACCTTTTAATACCAGTTCTCTGGGCATGGATTGGTGGTCGTGATGTAGCTTGGTGGGTGTGGCAGGGGAAGGATACTGTAAAATCCCCATTCCCTCCCGATCAGCTGGGACTCAGGAGGCAGAGAATAGATGGGGCAGGGCCAGTCAGAGGTGGTATTTACCTGTTCTCTGAACTACTCAAAATTTCCGCTACCGGTTCTCCAGAACTGGTCAGAACCTGCTGAATACCATCTCTGGTGTGCTTCCTCTCTGGACTACCTTTTAAGGCTGACATCGATCTTGTAAGTCTCCTCCATCACTTTTACAGCCCAAGAAACTAGGGAGAGTCTCTTCCGAGACATTTGCTACGTCCACATTCCTCCTGCAAGCTAAGCTATCTCTTATCTGGCTATTCCCCTGGTTGCAACTCTTCCCTCTGCCTCCCAAGCTCATTCCCATATTCCATTATAGCTACCGAAATTACCTCTAGCCCCAAACAAGAGGCAAGATGGCTGATGCTCTTATTTAATATCCTGCCTCAAAGAGAGGCTTTCACAGTCTGCAGGAAGACAGACAGTTTCTGATTCATGACATGATAGATGATATTTCTCTACACGCATGCCCAGTTTTTATTAAAATGTATAATGACTTAGATGGGGGAGATTTCCCCCTGAAGAGGTTTGAGCATATAATTCACACGCATCATTGACATAGCCAGTCATAAAACATCTTCCACCACTGATTGAAACATGAAGGCATTGGGGAAATGTGTGTACTGAAACCAAGTTTAATACAACTATGATCACACTTCAAAAAAGAAAAATAATCAGACTGGAAAGGACAATATTAAATCCCCTCCCCCCAAAAATTGAAGATCTGAGGAAAAATATGCAAAGGAAAAATATATATTTAAGGTTCAAATTAGAAAAGAACAGCAGCCTGCATATAAATCAATTACTGCTCAAGAAGGTCTGTTTACTCGAGAGTAAATGTTGTCAACGAAAATATGTTTAGAAGCTACTAAGGCTTTTAAACCAAGCTGCATCCATTTGTTAAAAAAAATATCCTCAACTTTTGAGTGGTTCAAATTCTAAATGCAACCAGTTTCATTTGAAAACCTCCCAAGACACTCTGAGAAGGATCAGAGATTTTTGATTAATAGTCCAGTTTAGTGAGAGAAAATCCATTTTGTTTTGCTATTGCTCAACTCTTGAGATTAGGAATTCATGCTTATCATCAGCCAGGAAAGCTGAAAGGCCCAGCTGACTTTCCTGCCCCTGAAATATACTATATCCTATGGAAATCTGACATTATTACATGAAATCTTTGTCACATTCAAAGAAAATATTTGCATTCCCTTGACCCAGTGATAAATTCAGATAGTTTTAATACATATTATATTACAAGGGTGAAAACCCTTGATGACTATTGGAGAAAATTATAACTTTCAATTATAGCTCTCCCAAGCAGACCTTGAACAAGCTACTGCAACAAAGCTCTCATTAAACTGTTTTAATCTATTCATAGCTTTTTAACCCTCAATCAGCTTCTTTGATTCTCAGTTAAACATATGTATTATTGGGATAGAGGTTCTTTAGTAATAATTGAGTCTATGTTTCCAAATGCTGTACATCATTTTGTAGTGCCGTTGTATATTTTAACAGAAGTTGTCACCTGTCAGATTCCAATCCTTCTATAATCCAGTACCATTATTCATTAAGAAGAGGGAAGCTTCAGTGATATTTGGGGGAATGTCAGCATGTGCAGAAACACCAATAAAAGTGTACATGAAAATTCTCATATGCATGGAAATCAGAGGTGGGTTTCTGATCGTTCGCCCCGGATCAGGCGAACTGGTAGTGGCAGTGATGGGAGGCTCTGCCCACCTGCTCAGATGTTTCTGCACATGTGCAGAAGCATCAAGCGCATGCACAAGTGCACATGTACATGAGCGAACCAGTAGGAAAATCAATTGAAACCCACCATTGATGGAAATAGTCTACTGATACTTGAAGTTAGAATACTCATGGGAGAAGCACAGAATATTCCTTCGGATAGCACAGCTGAGCAATTGAACAGGAACATTACTCTAAAGCATAATGTTTGCTTTATAATCCATTCAATTACACATTCCTCAGAATGTGTGAGTTAGGAAATAAGAAGTGACAACTCTGCTACTCAGATAGGAGTTTCTACTTGGGTTCAGAGCTGTATCTTAGCAGAAACTCCTTTCCATCCTTCCAATGCTGTGAGGCTGGGAGTACACAATAATGCAATGATATTTCACTAATTTTAGAGAGCACCTAGTACTGTAATGGTGAACCTATGGCACACATGTCAAAAGTGGCATGCAGAGCCATCTCTCTGGGCACGCCAATCATTGCCTGTTGCTCTTCTGGGGTCTGGTGTGCTGGCCAGCTGCTCTTTGCACACGCATGCATGCCAGGAACCAGAAGACCAGGTGACTGGCATGCATGCACATGCCGGAAACCGGAAGCTCAGCTTCCCGGCATGCGAATATGGGGAACTGGCCTTCCGGTTTCTGGCACTCCCACACATATGCACCAGGGAACTGCTCTTTTGGTTTCCCGAGCTCCGCCGCCCGTGTGTGCATGCTCCCATTTCAGCACTCAGTGCTAAAAAGGTTAGCCAACACTGACCTAGTACTTCCTAAAATTTGTCCGAAATAGAATGCATATCAAAACAATGCAGTTGATATGGTGTAGTGATTAAAGTGTTATTAATGATTAAAGTGTCGAACTAGGACCAAGATATCTAGATTCAAATTTTGCCTCTATTTGGAAAGGTCACGGGTGACTTTGGCCTGTTACACTTCCTCAGTTGAATCTATCCTACAAGATTGTTATGGGGAACATTGGAAGAAGATGTGCAACACATGAACCCTTGGGACTCCTAGCGAGAGGCCAAATATAAATCTAACTTTAAAAAAAAGCAATTATCAATTTGGAAATGAGCACCACTGAAACTGATCTGAAACTCTTTCTTAGGAGTTCTTGTGAACACAATTTAGAAAATCTTGGCAGGGGAGATTTTACAGCACCAACCAAACATTGTAAAGCCAATATACAGCTTGTCTTCATCACTGCTATATCATCATGTTAATGTTTGGATGATATTAGAAGACATTACCAATCACTAGGAGGGAACTGACTCTACACTTGGTGAGCAAATGCGCCTTGAAAAAAATTAATGCAGGAAATCATCTTCACAACATTCTCTTGTAGAAAAGAAAATGGCAAATGCAGCTTGTAATTTAGAAATACTTACAACTGATAGTAATCCCAAGTTCCACACCCCTTTTCTTAGGTAGTTTCACATGGAAGGTACCACTGCTTGGAATGACAGATTCTGTGGAACAAAAAGACCAATTAAAAGGGCAAGATCAAACCAGAGGGTCACGGAGTTGGTTGCTTTGTCTATCTGTACTAAAGTACCATGTACCATCTACCTCTACTAAAATTTCCAATATGTGAAGATAAGTACAAAGTTTAGTATAGTGTACAAAGTGTAGCACAAAGTTTACTTTGGCATTGGAAAAAGTATTTGATGAAAGACCACTGACATGAGTCACTTCTCAGTTTTCAGTGGCTTTCCTATAGGCACACCTTTGTATTCATACTAGCATTTACTGTTACTGGAATCAAAACCTGCAAAACAATTGGGCCAGATCATGTTGGATTCCAGAACATTGTTAGATAGAAGAGGTTTGGGCAGAATTAATGGGAAGATCATAATGAATGAAGCTGCCTTACATTTTCTGTAATATTTTCTAATAGCTCAAAAGAAGTTGTGTCTTAATGAATATTTCCTTACTGTATTTAGTCTAGTACAGTCAGATCAATATTACTGTGTTTTCCTGAAAATAAGACATGTTCTTATTTTCTTTTGACTCCTGAAATATGCGCTTGGCTTTATTTTCAGGGAGGTACTGTAACGCGCTCTACATGGGGCTGCCCTTGAAGAGTGTCCGAAGACTTCAGTTAGTCCAGAACGCAGCCGCGCGAGCGATCGTGGGTGCACCTAGGTACACCCACGTTACACCTATCCTCCACGAGCTGCACTGGCTACCCATTAGTCTCTGGATGCGCCTCAAGGTACTAGTCGTTACTTATAAAGCCTTACATGGCATTGGACCTGGGTACCTGAGAGACCACCTCCTGCCAATTACCTCCCAAAGACCGATCCGATCACACAGACTAGGCCTTCTCCAGATTCCATCTGCCAGCCAATGTCGGCTGGCGACCCCCCCGGGGGAGAGCCTTCTCTGTTGCAGCTCCGGCCCTCTGGAATGAGCTCCCCATGGAGATCCGGACCCTCATGACCCTCCAGGCCTTCCTTAAAGCCACTAAGTCCTGGCTGCTCTGGCAGGCCGGGGGCTGTTGAAGTATTCAGCCCCACGGTAATCTATGAATGTTGTTGTATTTAAATTTGCTGTTTGTCTTATTTATTCCCTTTCCCCTTTTTATTGTAAGCCGCCCGGAGTCCTTTGGGAGTGGGCGGCATACAAGACTAATAAACAGAATAAACAGAAACAGGTCTTATTATTTTTGAGGTGCAGAGGCGGTGAATGTAGTCACCTCACGACTGTTGCTGTGTTGCAATATTTTCATGGAGGGCTTATTTTTGGGGAAGGCTTATTTTTAGGGAAACAGTATAACACAGATGACATTTATAAGTAGTCCTCAACTTATGACAATTGAGTCCAACATTTCTATTGCTAAACAACACAGTTGTTAAGTGAGTTTGCCCCATTTTATGATTCTTCTTGCCACAGCTGCTAAATGAATCATTGCAGTTGTTAAGTTAGTAACATGGCTGTTAAGGGAATCTGGCTTCCCCATTGACTTTGCTTGTCAGAAGGTTGCAAAAGGGGATCACATGACCATGGGACACGGCAACCTTCATAAGTACCTGCCAGTTGCTAGGCATCTTAACTTTGAGCCCATGACCACAGGGATACTGCAACGATTTTAAATGTGAAAAATGGTCATGAGTCACTTTTTTCCCCCCAGCGCCATTGTAACTTCAAATGGCTATTAAACAAATTGTAAGACAAGGACTACCTGTACATTTAAAATTATGTGTGACATCTTTTTGCATTTAGTTTTATTTCTGTTTGAACTGTTAAGTGTAATAAGGGCTTTCATTAGATTAATGTTTATGTATACATAGCATTCAACATGCAGAAAGGTGGGTCCTAAACTGTATAAATATATTCAGCATTTTTGTAGATTGGTATTTATTTATTTATTTATTTATTTAACTTGTATGCCGCCCATTCTCGGAAGACTCAGGGCGGCTTACAAATAAAAAGGGAAAGGGGAATATAAAAAATAAAAACAACACTTAAAAATTCAACAACATTCATAACCTAGGATGGGGCTGGATAATTCAACAGCCCCAGGCCTGCGACCCAGGTCTTGGTCGCTTTGCGGAAGGCCGGAAGGATAGTAAGGGTCCAGATCTCAACAGAGAGATCGTTCCATAGGGCCGGAGCAGCTACAGAGAAGGCCCTCCCCCGGGGGGTTGCCACCCGACATTGGCTGGCAGATGGAATCCGGAGGAGGCCTAGTTTGTGCGATCTAATAGGTCTTTGGGAGGTGATTGGCAGGAGGCGGTCTCTCAGGTAGCCAGGTCCGATACCATGTAGGGCTTCAAAAGTAATGACTAGCACCTTGAAGCGTGTCCGGAGACCAATGGGAAGCCAGTGCAACTCACGGAGGATAGGTGTAACGTGGGTGTACAATCATTCGCTGCATTCTGGACTAGCTGAAGTCTTCGAACACTCTTCAAGGGCAGCCCCATGTAGAGCGCATTACGAGACAAAGGCTCATTTCTGAAAGAACAAGTTGTATGCAAGTGATTTCTTCTTCCCTTTCTTGGTCTTACCAACTGGGGGGAAAAATTTTTTTAGGACTTTGCCACTCAGATTCTATAACTTTATTCTAGAACTATAATTTTATTCTATGAAATCCCAGTTATTTTAATAGGTCAAATTAAGTAAGAAACTATTAGTTTTCCTCTGAGATTTAGCCATTTTTCATTTTAAACTATAGACACATTAAAGCTTTGACAATTATCTAGTGACAGGAACAGCCTAAAAGGGGCCAGCAGCTGAGAACATGGAGAGTGGAGGAGCCATTAACTGAAATGAAAACTGGAGCTATATAGGTGTCCCACCCAGTAACTTCCGGTGTCTTCTATAACTAAACATAATCACATTAATTGACTCTGAATAACACTTTCCCGCCTTTGTTAGTTACAACATAGTGCAATTGTAAAAGTGCTAATTAAAATCAGAAGATCCAAATTCAGTTGCGGGCCATCATGAGGTTCACCAAGAACCCTCATGTGGTCACCATCTCTTATCTTCATTTAGAAATTTGTAGTAGGTTGTGAAAGGAGTACTTCCTATGCAGAGGCATAATAAATATTGTCGGTGATAGAAGAAACTATAGATATAGTCCTCAATTTAAAAACATTCATTTAGTGACTATGAAGAGTTTCAACAGCTTGAAAAAAGAGACAACCAATCCTTATATTGCAACAATCCTCATGGTCACATGATCATAATTCAGGCACTTGGCAACTGGCATGTATTTATGACAGTTGCAGCATCCTGGGATCATGTGATCACCATTGGTGACCTTCCCAGCTGGTCTATGACATGCAAAGTCAATGGGGGAAACTGGATTTTCTTAACAACTATGCGATTCCCTTAACTAGTTATTTGCTTTACAATTGCAGCAAAACAGATTGTAAAATTGGTGGTGAACCGTTTAACTACTCCGTTCTTTAGCAATGGAAATTCTTGTCCCAATTGTGGTCATAAATCCACAATTATACTTTATCTCATTCCTATGTCCGAACTGAGTCAGAAATTTGGAAAAAGTTACTTATTTCTTATAAAAATGAATGATGTTTTTTAGACAGAATCAGACTATTCACAAGTAATTTATTTTTAATCAACAGAAATTTTACCAGTCTGAGATACTTTCCAACCAAACTATCTGCCATCTGAAGAATTCTGGCATTTAATCTGCTCAAAACATTGCTTTGCCATTATTTGTTTGCCTTTCCCTTAATCAAACTGACTTCTCTTAATGTACTTCTACTTAACTGTTGATACATATTTGGAAGTTTATATATGGCATACATTGTTTCTGGCTTTAGAAATCAATATAGTTGCCCAATACATCAAGATCATGCATCATGTCTAGTCTTTGGGTCAATAAAATAATCTGGTCAATGTCTACTGTTCTATGCTGCTGCTAACTATATTGAAAACAAAACAATGTAATTAAAAAATTAAAATCGGGATTAAGCAGGGGAAAAAAAACCATACCTGCCACATCAAATTCAATCTCTAACACGACTTTATTCGTAAGTGCTGCATCTCGCAACAGCTGGTTGGCTTCCTCCATTGTCCCATCTTCAGTTGCAATGCTGTTGATGGAAAGTACTCTGTCTCCAACTTGTAGAAGGCCACACCTTTAATGAAGAGTGGTGAAGGAGGTTGGGAGAAGTCAAGAAAAAAAGACATTTATCAACACTATGTAGCCCAGGAGTGTCAGACATAAGGCCCGTGGGCCAGATCTGTCCCGCGATGTGGTCGGATCTGGCCCATGGGGCCATCCTTAAAACTGTAGGGGGCCAACCACATCACTTCAACTGGTCTACCTGCATCACTTCAGCTCTGTTTACCCATGTCACTTCGACCCGGTCTAGCCAATGAGAAGAGGAAACATGCCAGCAGTTTGGGGAGTGGCATCAATCTGGCCATGCCCACCCAGTTGGCCATACCCACCCAGTCAGCACTGCTTACTCAGCCCCCCCCCCAAGTCAACCACAGCCCTGATGCAGCCCTCAATGAAATTGAGTTTGGCACCCCTGATGTAGCCCCTTTCCCATGACATCAAAGAACAAGACTGATGGGGAATCCAATATAGCAGTAGCAATAGCAGTAGACTTATATACCGCTTCATAGGCCTTTCAGGCCTCTCTAAGCGGTTTACAGAGAGTCAGCATATTGCCCCCAACAATCTGGGTCCTCATTTTACCCACCTCGGAAGGATGGAAGGCTGAGTCAACCCTGAGCCAGTGAGATTTGAACCGCTGACCTGCTGATCTAGCAGTAGCCTGCAGTGCTGCATTTAACCACTGCGCCACCTTGGCTCTTATGAAAGCTTACATATTTGAAATATGAAAGCTTACATATTTGAGACAGTCAAGTAAGAGAGGATTCATATACATGGATGGACTACTTGTAATATCTTCAAAATCTGATACTCTTCCCGCTCTCTTCTACCCGAGTGAATTAGGTTGGAGCCTGTCTGAGCTTCTTTCTAATGCTCCTACTTCTGGGGTTCAACACATGTTTTTGTAACTACAGTTTCTTCATGACTTTCTACATATACAAAGATACATTAAAGCTAACTTTAGTGTTATGTGAAAGCTGTTTTGAAGCATACTTTAATCTTACAGCAATCCAATTAACCATTTCTGACCCCACTGTCATTCAGACTAATGACACCAAAAGTCACATGATATCTGCAGTATTGCAAGCTGCAGCTTATTCAACTCACTTCAGTGCTTCAGCAAATCAGGTAACTTTTTTTTCTTCCTATTTTCCCCCTTGAAGCAAAATATACCCTTATGCTCCTTAATAGTTTGAAACGCTATTGCTGTATTTCTATATATAAGACTGAAGAAGCTACCTGGTTAAGCAGCAAAAGTTTCAAGCCAAAAAAAGAAAAGAAGTCCAGTTGCCATGACTCAACTTCCAAGTCAGTACTATATTGTTTTAAGATACACTTTTTATACAATGTTGTCTTACATTTATTGTAGTGATAGTTCCACATTTGGAGACTTGGGATAGCAGGAACAGAAGAAAAACAAAAAGAATTACATATGACCCTCAAATTACAAATATAACCAGAACTGAGATTTTGATCAAAAGTCACTGCAGTCATAAATCAAGGGATTCACGTGACTTGCTCTGATGTTTTAAATGATTTTTAAAGCAATCGTTAAGTGAATCATGTGGTCATTAGCAAATCCTTTCTCCTGAATGTGTGCGTTTTGACAGGGACCAACAAAATACATTGTCAATTGCAGTCATGTGACTGTGGGAAACTACAATTCGTTGTAAATGTGAGCCATTGCTAAGTGGCATCAATGTGATTGTGTGATAGGGGGACCAATGCTTTATGATTATCAAAATCACTCTGAATAGTGAGATGGATACTTTTCAGAAAGAGAGAGGGTGAGAGAAAGAGAGAGAGAGAGGAGGGAGGGAGGAAGAATGGGATTTTATGAGCCATAAAGCATCCTTTTTGAGACTGTCATAACCTTGAATGACAGATCATAAGTTGGGGATTACAAAAGTGAGGAAGAATCAAGCCACAAGAAGAGATTCTGAATAGAAGAGGCAAAGGCAGTTTTAGAAACAAACTGAGCAATAAATAGGTGGATGCAGCAGTCCTCAGAATATAGGAACAGAGAGGTTTTGGATAGGAACCACAGTATAATCCAGGGGCAGGATTTTAAAATGAGTGAAGATTATCCTTGAAGATCCTAAAATAATGATGTGCAACTGTAGCAAACCACATAGAAACACCACAACTCATAAATGGCTGGGTAAATCTTAATGCTTTTAAAAGAAAAGAATTTATTTATGTATAAAGATCTTCCTATTTAGTAATTATATTGAAAAAGGCTGGAGAAGCTTTTGAGTAACACAGGAACAGCTCTCTCTGTTGAGTGTTTCTGATGTACCATTCAAAGACTGGGAAAAAAATCCATTACTTGAACTGAGCTTCTAGCAAAATTGTCTAAACATCTTTGCATTTCTAATCAATAGGGGAAAAATCAAGAATCAATATATGATTTAGCCCAAGAATAGAGTACTTTGAAAATTTAAAAGCTTTATATCTTGGTTGTCTGAGTCCAAAACATTTTCTTTCCCTTATTAGTAGATTGAAAAGAGCTAATAGGCTATTAAGGCTCAAATCCTCCAGCTTTATACCATTTTGTGAAATGAAATTATAGCCGGTTGTTCCTTTAATAAAGACAGTGATGCAAGATATCACATATAATTATGATGCTGCATTTACAAGATCACTTTTTTTCCTAAAAATAATCATAATAAAAGAATATCACAGAGATTTATATAGATCTTCAGAAGGATGAATATGAACAAAGTCACTGTTAACTTCGAAACAAACCTGGCAGGGGCCATTTTCTTGTTCTTCAGTTGCCACACAGTGTGGGGAGGGAGGAAAGGAGGATGGAATGCTTTTCTAGACACAACAAAGTGCTTTCTCATGAGAACCAAGGTCATCCTGCCAATTAACATAATCGGACAACGTGACCTGTGACAATTGAGAAGGGAGTTATTTTCTATTTTAATTATACTGAAACTATGGGAAAGATTTGGGGTTGGTTTTACAATTGACAATGCCGATATAATGTATCCAATAAAGAAATCCTTTGAGGAAGATTGCAGTCTCAGAGTTCTGGATTCGTTAGTCAGAATCATGACAATTTTCCATTAACAAAAAATCTAGAACCATTAAAAATGTATCACCATTTTTTAAATTTTTAAATAGTAGGTATTTGCCTTCTCCATCTTTCTCTTTGATTCCATTTAAAACACAGACTACATGCATGCATTACTTACTCGAGATTTGTTGCTAACAAAGAAGGCAGGATGGGCTAACAGTGAGCCACAAATGTACTTGCCTGCCTGCCACTGATCATGATTGCTATAGCTATGTCCCCAAATGCAGAGATAGGGGACTGTTTTCCTGTTTGCAAACTCTGGAGCTGCTCCAACTTCTTTAGAAGAATTATGTGATTGCCTGGGTGAATTCTTGTTCCCTCCTTCCCAATTCCATGGCCGCATCTGTGTTGTTCAGTGCTTTGGAGGCACATTGAGCCACTTAGAACAGAAATATAGCATGATGAAACAGATGAATGCTAGTTCTCCTGAGGTTGTGGCTAGAATACTAGAAAGATTATATCATACCCCATACTAAGTACTTTTAGAATTCACTGGGGTACAATAAGAGAGTACAACACTCTTGATATTCAACAACAATAAAAATATGAAGACTCATGGATAGCCTTGCATAAAGGTAAATGTTCCCCTAGCACATATGTGCTAGTCGTTCCTGACTCTAGGAGATGGTGTTCATCTCTGTTTCAAAGCCGAAGAGCCAGCGTTGTCCGAAGACATCTCTGTGGTCATGTGGCCAGCATGACTAAACACCTAAGGCGCACAGAATGCTGTTACCTTCCCACCAAAGGTGGTTCCTATTTTTTCTACTTGCACTACTTGAGACCCTAGAAAGAATGCAGAGAAGAGCAAGATGGTAAGAAGTCTGGAA